AATGATCCACAACTAGAGAGCAAGCTTCCTCTCATACTTGCAAAAACCAGCAATTTCGTGCACTGTTCATCTTCCTCCATTTTCTTCTTCTGACAAGCTGCCAGAAGAACATAGTTCTTCCCTTTTCTCTTCCTAGCCACATATGCTTGAAAACCTCTTCTTCCTCACCTTAAACACTCCCTTTTCTCCCCAAGAAGCCATATTTCCTTTTTGGTGCTCAACTCATGCTAATTTTGCTCCCATGCCACAAGCCCCTCATGCCAAACTCAAAAGTTTATCTGTAAGCATGAAGAAATTACCTGTAAGCTGCCATTATTTTGGTTGGTGAAGATAACCAAAATACTTCCTAAGGCTCTACTGCCTTTCGAGGTATTTTGGGGCTTAATTTTCGAACTCAGGCTCAAGGGGCAATTTCTTCCATTTTGCCCTTTACGGCAGTCAGGCCCGTAGTAGCTGCCGGAAGAAAAAGGCCCCTACACCTCCAATATGGATGATATATTGGTAACCAATTTCTATGCCTGATGTAACATATTTTGTAGCCATTTTTCAACCTGTGACTAGGTGTATCATCACCCCATATTAGACAAGCTTTATATCCTTTTACGATACAACCAGATAAGTTTCCATAAGCAGAAAAATCATTAATTGTCTATAGCAATGCAGCTCTGAGTGTAAAGTATTCTCCTATATGAGCATCATACACTCCTTTAATCCCATTCCACAAAGATTTTAAATCATCAATCAAAGGCTCTAAGTAGACGTCTATATCATTTCCGGGTTGTTTTGGACAGGAAATCAATATGGTCAACATCATGAACTTTCGTTTCATGCATAGCCATGGTGGGAGATTATATGTAACTAAGATAACTGGCCAACAACTGTATCTGGTACTTAGAGAACTGTGGGAATTGAATCCATCAGATGAGAGAGCCAATCTCAAGTTTCTCGGCTCACTACCAAACTCGGGCCATTTATCATCAATGAGTTACCAAGAGGGAGAATCAGCCGGATAAGACATCTGACCTTCAATTGCTTTTCTATCAGCATGCCAAGTCAAACTCTTAGTTGTCTTGCGTGATTGAAACATCCTTTTAAATCTTGGAGTTGGTGGAAAATACCACACTACCTTTGCTGGGACACCCTCTTTCAAGATTGAATCTTTGCCTTCCTTCCATCTTGATATTCCACAAGTAGGACAATGCGTTGAATGCAATCATTGGGGCATGCGTGGATTTTCTTATAACTCAGCCCCAATGCACACAAAGTCTTTTTTACCTTATACATAGAGGAAGGTATTGTATTTCCTTATGGAAGCAATTCTCCTTGAAGTATCAAAAATTCTATAAAACAGACATCGCTCATCCCATGTTTTGCCTTCAAATTATATAACTTCACTTATGCTGACAACTTGGTGTACATACTACAACCAGGGTACAAGGGTTGATCTCCATCGCCAATCACATTGGCGAACTCATAAGGATCGGATCCAAAATCGCCTAAATCATTATCATCCATCTCTATTTCATCAGACACAAAACTGTACCTACTATGTTCATCATCTTCTTCCATATTTCTACTAGCATTAGTAGTTGCTTGCCAAGGTTCTTCGTGAAATGTCCAATTCTTATAACTTTGGTCAACTCCATTAAAGTATAAGTGGTCCCTTATAATTCCAACCCCAAACAATCGAACATTCCCACATTTAACACATGGACAGTGAATATGTGTTGTGGTTAGAAGATTTTATATTGAAAATTTCAAGAATGCTTCCACCCCTAACTCATATGCCTTTGATCTTCTATCTGTGTGCATCCATGACTTATCCATCTCCGACAAAATACCCTATTATTTATAATAAGGTGAAAAGACAAGCAATGACCATTACTACAACATATTATAATTACTTTGATAGAAAGTAATTTAACATAAAGACAACGGTTTTTTTAAAACATCTGACGTTTTATACTTCTACAGACGATGATTTTTTAAAAAACCGACATTTGAAGCTATTAAACAGTGATTCTGGACACAGCAATACAGACGACGGTAGTTAAATAAACACCGCCTTGTAGATAAATAAAGACGACAGTTTTTAAGAAAAACCGTCGTCAAACTCTTAAAGAAAAGGACGCTAAGTCTTCTTTTATTCAGACCATTTCCAAGAACCCAACATATGTTAACAACCCAAAACATTGAATTTTTATGAAAAGCGTGCAAATATTAAAGCCATTCCCCATTCATAACAACAGAGATTGATGAAGAACATACCTACGAAAACATTAAAAGATCGCAAAATATATATCTAAAACCCAACAATGCAGTCTATGATTTCAAAATAATCTTCTAAACCCTAAACATGTATCTAAAGCTATTCCCTAAACCCTATATGTTTGTACTTCAGAACCCAAAATTGAATATCAATCAATGAATTAAGAAGAAAGATATTAGGGTTTGTACTTACAGGCAGGCATAGCTCACAGATTATGGCCTCCTTGGATTAGAGTTGAAGTGAGAGAGTGAAATGTAGACTTGGACCGAAATTTGAAAATTTCAGGTCGAGGCAAATTTTTTAGAAAGCGCGCTTCTTCAAACATCGACGAAAATCATACAAAACCGTCGTTAAAACATCGACGTCGTAAAGCAGTAAGACGTTGGTAAAACATAAAACTGACGTCGAATGCACTAAATATTATTCATGGGATTTGGATTTGCTGGGGTTCGAACGCCTGTGCGCAAGGGACAGAAAAAAAAATACAACCATGGCGTCATACTAAACCCTAAATCGTAAACATTAAATTATAAATTTGTAAAACAAAATTGTAAAAAAGGTTTAGGGTTTAGGGCGGTCATAAACTAAACCCTGAACCCTAAACCCTAAATAATAATATATAAATTGTAAAAAAATACAAATGTTTGAGAAAAATAAACTGAAAATTGCTACGGACTCCTTACGACAATGCCGTCTAAATTAGATTGCCAAAACCTATATTTAATATATATATATATATATATATCCCCACCAATGAATGACACAGGCCATATGATTGTTTGAAGAAACTATAAGGGATGTTGTGATTTATTTGTTTATGTGGACATTTTTCATTTTTATAACTCAAATTACATTTTTAAAAGCTTTAGGACAAAGAAAATATCTTAATGACTGCATAGGAGTTATGGTGTGTTTTTTGGAAATTTTAAAAATTTATTATGAATATAATGAATTAAGGTCAATAAAAAACTGTTATAAACACAACAAACCACATCGGTTTTAAATACATATACCGACGTTGTATGCATGTTAAACTTTGGTATTCATATAGATACCGACATTGTAAATAATGTACGACGTCATAGGATTAGGATGTTGTTTCGTTTCTCGTACGTCATCTATGATACTAATCGACGGGGTAAAGAGCATAGACATCACACAGCTTATAGATAAACCGACGTTGTAGTCAGTTCAAATGTCAGAAAATAAGTCAAAACTGCCACTAAATAAGATAGAAGACGTCAGGCCTATATACGTCGCGTAAATAAAATAACGTCGTTGTAAGTATTTGACCAGACGACGGTTATTAAAAGGGATGTCGTTGAAATTGCATAAGACGTCATTTGTTATCAAGTTATCGACTTGGTATTTGCTTCATGGCTCTTTTTGTGTTAGCAACGTCGTTTATTGTCTTTTAAAATGTACCGTCGTGTTACAGGAGTTTACATGTCATTTATTGAATTTACTGTCATTTGTTTATTTTCAAGTTTCATAAGACGTTTGATGTTGAAACTATTATGTCGTTGGAAGGGTCTTCAGACGACGGTTTACGGAGTTACTTTAGTTTTTAAAACTGAAAACCAATTTTTATTGACAACCAAAAAAAACAAATACATTATACCTTAAACCATGTACAAAAAATTGTCTATTCTAAACAAAAAAATGTACATTTTTCATAATTGTTTGTAAAAATCCTCTACTCCATAAGAAGGCAAACAAAATCTGCCCATCCTTTCCTCACTTCTTCAATGGCTTGTTGGGGTATGGTGCTTGATCTTTGTCCTTTTCAAAGTACAATCAATAAAACATAATTATTTAGCATTCATGACTGGTTTTATAGGATCTATGGCAGAGTAAATAGAATTACCATTGTGGTATATCGATTCAAACGACGGTAATTCTATTTTCCGTCATCCACTTACAAAAACCACAGAAATTAAAATCCTAAAGTTTTCCATTTACCTTCTTCTCAAACTCCAAAAAAGGATCTCTGATGATATCTCTCATAAAGTGCATGACATAATATCCACACTCTACACTGCTGTGTTGCTTTGGTGTGCCTTGTAGAGTTTTCCAAATAGGTGCTTTACGACCTTGTCTGCCTATGTGTGAATTATATCATAGCTTGTTTAGCACTGTTTCATGACAATAATTATTTAAAAAAAAAAAAAAAAAAAAAAAAAAAAAAAAAAAAAAAGGCAAACACACATTGCACTTGAGTAGATCAACTTACGTGTTCACTATGTTTTTGCACTCGTCATCAACCACTCGATTTCTAGGTAGTGGATCCAGAAAATACACAGTCTCCCTCTTTGGTCTCACAATGAGCAAGACCCAATGACAGGTACCAAAAATAAACATAGAGGTTAAATAGTTTTATATACACTACATCATACAAAGAAAATCATGTTGACTAACGTACCCTGGATTTTAAGGCATAAAGAAAATATGTTACCCATCTGTCTTTTGAAGTCGATTCGCTAACAAACATGATCTTTGAGTTAATAATCTGGAGTTAGCACTAACTTGAGCAGGGTCAACAAAGCCAACCATGTTCACCATATTTGTTGTTTTCAATACATCAAATAGGCACCTACATATATAAAATGCTGTCATGAGTTTTCTAATTTTTTTTTAAAGAAAGGAGAGTGTGAAATGACAATGAGTTGATAAGGACAAATCTCATGTATACAACAACCACAATAGCCCCAATTTCATCCATAGCTGCAAACTATGTAATATCTTCAATCAAGACGAAGGTTTGACGCTCAAAACCAAACACCTCCTTCTCAATAGTAAATATCATAGCCTTCACATAAACCTTTAATGTCGTCTCCATATAACGACAAAGGGCTTGTAAAGAAGATGGCAAGACTAGGTTTGAGTAATCTAGTGCTTGTTGTTCCTTCTCAAAAACGTCTAAGCACTTGTCTTTCTGCTTGAAGAAACAAGGAAAGATATATAATAGAGAAGTGACAAAACCAGAGTAAACTACACAAACTTAAATGACATGGTAATCGAGATAAAACGACGCGGAAGATAAAAAAACGACGTGGAAATTAAATAACCACGACAGCAAGTGAAAACCGTCGTCGTATGTATCAATTACGTCGGTAGAAAACAGAGCACTAGAAAATTAACAATTACCAATATCAATTTAAAAGCATGCTTTAGCAGAAATACAAATAACATGAAATGCAGAGAGAGAGAGAAAGAGAGAGAGAGAGAGAGAGAGAGAGAGAGAGAGAGAGAGAGAGAGAGAGAGAGAGAGAGAGAGAGAAAGTGAGAGTCGAAAAAAGTGAGTGAAGAAAGATTGAAAAAAAAGAAGACACTATTTGAATCCACAATATCGTCATGGTACTAGAATTCCAACGATTTAAAAAACAGACGTAATATGAAGTTAAAATGACGGTTATGAAAAACTGTCACCTTATGACTTTATTACGTAGGTATAAAATAGAGCCCCCCAAAATTAACAAATGCAATTACAAACTTAAAAGCATGCGTCAGCAGAAATGCAGAATTGCAGATAAAGAGAGAGAGAAAGAGAGTATTTTAAATTTCAGAGAATTTACCATGTCAGCTTGCTGTTTTGCATCCTTGGATTTCTGTTTTAAGAAACAAAGAAATATAGATAAGACAGCTTGTACAAAATGAAATATTGCACAAACGTACCGTTGTGGTAAGGAATACACATGACGGTTAATATAAGAAAACGGTGTCTAATTTAAATTGAGACAATGGTAAATAAAAGACATCGTTGTGGGTTGTTTCTAACGTCTGTAATTAAGATAACGACGTCTAATTGGTTTTAGGCAGAGTTCATAGAAGTTACCATTTCTTCTTGCTTTTCTCCATCTTTGGCATTATCATCCTCAAAATTGAGGGCTCTGACATCCAGCGCCCTAGAGCAGCTTGCTTTATCTGACATTGGATTTTTGGGACTTTGCACAGGACTTTGGAAATTTGTCAGTTTCAGCATGCTTGGATCAAAATTTGGAATTAGTTGGCTCAGCTGATTTAGCAAATTCTCCCTCTCAGCTTCTACCAATTGCTTGGTTCTAGCCTCCATCTTCAAGGTCTCTTCTTTAAGGACATCTTACACACTTTCCTTTAATTGATCGGCAAACTTTACCCTCTGTTGTCTAGGTAAATTGAAGTATTGCCTAGTGGAAATCCCAGCCCCAACACCTGTAACTCTCCCTGGATGCTCGGGACAAAGCCATAGTCAACACATCATTACTTCCAGAGACATTAAGAGTGCCTTCATTGACTTGTTTTTGCAATTCATCCTAATTAACACAAAGACACATTAAAGTCAATAAAAACATAAAGTTTGTTCCATATGCAAGTCTAATTAAAATTCCAATGCAGTTTAATACAAATTTAAAACAGAGTGAAGTGAATTTAGGCTTACAATTAATTTTGCTTTCTCCGCAACCTTTGGATCAGGGATATTACTGTGTTTGTCTTCTCTAGCTTTCTTCCACAAGGTAGATCGATCAATTTCTACCCTTGGCATGCTTTCTTCCAAATCATCCTCCAAACCAACATATCCTTTTCGAGACAATCGATGATTGTACTCACATTTCTCTCTCCTCTGTGCTTGTTCAGCATGGACAGACTCAAATTGTTCGGATAACCTTGAAGCTACAAAGGCATCCCAGTCTGCTTTCTCTATGAATTTATATAATTCAGAGGGTTGTCTTAACTTCTCCTTCTCATTGATGAATGGAAGGACATGATGCCTCGTTAATGTAGACTTGAAATCTTTCCATTTCTTGCCAGCAGATGATAACACCATTTTTTTACCCCCTTGCCCTACCACATAAGCCATGTCAACGGCTTCCCAAATTCGCTCTTTTATATCCTTAGGGATTTCAGTCCATTTCTTGTCCACAATTGGGACTCTGGACTGTGCCAACACACCAATGTAGGACTGCATCTGAGTATGTGTAGGGCCATATGGTTTCCCCCTTTTGTTGTACTCAATAACTGGCTTGATTTTCTGCAATTTTCTCTTCACAACACAGGGCATTGTGTTTATACCACGACTAGACTTTTGCTCCTCAGAAAATGTTGTCGTGCTACCTGGTTCAGTCTCAACAGATGAAACAAATTTCATCTTCTTCGAGGGCTTGGTTTGAGGTTTTGAAACTTTAAGCTCCTTACATTAATTTTTGTTCAAGCTAGAATCCTTACTTGGCGCTTGAGAAACCATGGTTACAGAGAAATCAGACCTGCAAGTAGAGAAAAAAAAATAAAAGTCACCAAAAAAATGACGCTAATTTAAAAAAACAACGTAGTATGAAATTTTATACGACGGAATATAAAAACAACCGACTCAATACTACATATATAATGACGGTAGTTAACTACCAACATGGTTTGAAAGTAAACGACGTAAATTTGTAATATTCACGACGATGGCAAGAAAACGTCATGGTTTTAAATTACAAACGACGTGAAATATAAAATACCGTCATCTATAGCGATGTTTCCAGACCTTTTTCTTCTTGTCTTTATATTTGGAAAAACTTAAATTGATTTTCAAGAGGGAAAAAAGTAAATATATTTTTCAACAAATGTCGTGGTTTTCAATTACAACGACGTTAGTTATAAAATACCGTCGTCTTATTAATATGAAATTCATAAACTGTTCCAAGACTGTTTGGTTTACTACTTCAAACACACAAAAACAGAGTAGATTTTATCATCGTGGTCAATGACACATTGTTCTTTGTCAGTAGATTTTATCCAAAAAGTAAAATAATTTTCGCATGAACAGGAACAAAGATGAGAAATGCAAAACGGGAATAAAGATGAGAAATGCTTACCTTTTGCTTGCAATGAAAGTTTTTCAGGGACGAAGACGAAGAGGAGAGGAAGCCGATGAGATTCAGACAAGGCGCTTTGGGAAGTAAAAATGAGGACAACGTGAAATTTTTTCTCGGGTTTGGAAACAGTATAAGTGTAGGTCAGGAAAGGCGAAAGGTTTAAAATATTAACGAAACGTTTCATAACACTACACTATTATATAAACTTGTCCGACGTGGTTAGTTTACCTTATGCGTCAGCAGCATTACAGATGTCGTCCTAGTATATTTTAAGTAATAAGTCGGTAATTTTATCATTACCGACGTCTTTACTTTCTACGTCAGTTACTTAATAGATTCCGTCGTTGGTTTTTCTCTCTAAGGTTAAGACGACGCATTTTATTTGTTTTGTGTCGTGGTGTTTCTAGAAAACCGCCCAAATATGTCTTTACTATGAGTGAAAATAATAGAACCGACATGGTGATTATTTTATACGTCTAAAGGGTTGGTACGGACAGACGTAGATTCACTTTGTTAAATGGTGTTAGGTGTAATATAACCGACGTGGATCTGAATTTTTTTTTATAAATAGAGTTTTTTTTCACGAGTTCTTTTAGTTTTAGTTTTCAATTAGGGTTTCAACTTCTTCTTGCCCTTGGCTTTGTCTTGTCTCACCTCTTAGGAGACAATTGTTTGGATGTTGGTGTGTGTGTATGTTTGTGTATCTGATTCACAAACATACATACATCACCAACGCTAAAAAAATTGTCTCTCTGAATGCAAATATGTGGCTGCCGTCGTCAAATTTTAGAGGCAAATTTTTGGATGTTGATGTGTATGTGCCTTTGTGTATCTCAAAGACACAAAGACACATACATCATCAACCTCTAAAATATTGTCTTTCTATAGTTCAATTATGATGAGGAACAGAGTTCCATCTGGTAAGATTTTGTAACCCTTGGGATCTCAGAAAAATTTGATTTTGTCGGCGGTTTTCTATATAAACCATCGTGGTTATTCTCAATTCTTGTCGTTAAGTTGATCTACCGACATAGCATAAAAAAATCCAAGAAATAAATTGTAAAAAAAAATTATTATTAAGACGACGGTTTAAATATAAGGTAAGACATATAAAGTGAATAAATATGACGGTAATTTTAAGTTCACAACGTATCTCTTGGGATCTCAGAAAAATCTAATTCTGTCGGTGGTTTTCTATATAAACCGTCGTGGTTATTCTCAATTCTTGTCATTAAGTTGTCTACCGTCATAGAATATCAAAATCCAAGAAATAAATAGTAAAAAAATAATATCATTAAGACAACGGTTTAGATATAATGGTAGACGTATAAAGTGAATAAATACGACGGTAATTTTATTATACATCGTTAATTGAACAAACCAACGTAGTTAGAGTTAAAGATACCGTCATGGTACTATACAAGAAATAAGTCGATAAATTTATCTTTGCCATCATTGTACATTTATTCAATACGGCGGTACTTAGTAATATACCGCCGTGGAATTGTTTGAAATTATATGGCACCGTATAAGAAAACTTGATCGTGTTTATTACGGAGTAAAAACGGCGGCTGTTTTTTTACACTGTCGTCTTTACTTTCTACGTCGGTGGATTCATACCTTCTGTCATTGTTTGTGGGCTCAGAGTTTACTCTGAGGAAAACCTTTTTCAATAAGACGTCGCTTTTTTAATTGGGTGTGTCTTGTTTTAAAAACAACCATTGGTAACTCCATTTTTTAGGTGTTTCAGTTAATCTTACACAGCGGTTTTATAAAACCGTCGTCTTTTCAAACACAATGACGGTTTTCTGTTAAACCGTTGTTTTTTTCTGGTCGTCTTTTTCACTTTTTGTAGTAGTGTAACAAAGAGTAATAAATAAATCCATGTATATAACAGTAACTTATTCCATTTTCAAGAGGAGGTTCATGCTCTTTTAGACACATGTTCAAAACATCCAGTCCCTATAAGAACTCTATAGAGAATAGAGACTTTTCTTTTGAGTTTTCATCAATGGTAGGTAAGTAATATATATTATGATTAATATTTTTATTTGATTCAAGATCTTTTCCTTGATGTGATTCTATGTGTGTATATAGGGTTTAAGGAATTTATGTAATTAGTTTTCAATAGTAACTTCCATTTATTGAAAGATTGTCTTCCATCTGATTTTGGAGTACTTGCCTCCACTTATTTAAAAATCTTTCCATTTTATTTTTGCATACATATAAGATGGGTCTCGATCTCGATATAAAGCTGAACAACTGAACCAAAGCCCTCAAAAGGGAAGAAACCAATTTCTTGGTCGCCCTAGAAAGCTTTCCTACAACACAAAAACCCTTCTATGACGTCTGATTTGCGTCATGGAAGGCATTTAATGACGCGGATCAGGCGTCGTAACCCACGTCGTCAAAAGGGGGGTCATGGAAACTTTTTCCAAGCACGACGTCTGTTCCGCGTCATGGAATGGGGTTTCAATGACGCGGATAGCGTGTCATGGAAACTTTTTCAGAGCACGACATCTATCCCGCGTCATGGAATGGGGTTTCAATGACGCATGTAGCGTGTCATGGAAACTTTTTCAAAGCACAACGTCTATTTCACGTCATGGACTAAGCACCATTGAACTTAACGACGTTGTTGAGACGTCATTGAAATATTTTTCATGACACGGTTTGGACGTCGTTGAAATTCTTAATTTGTATATATATACATATCCCATCATTTTAATTATGCGAAAAGAAATTAATATATAAAAGCAAAAATATAAACACAAAGGCAAAGACTCTAAATTATATTTCTATTATTCAAAATGATTTTAGTACATTAAAATTTTCTTTAACGAATCCCACTAAACCGTTTCCCTTTCAAGAAGTTAAAAATATGAAGAATGAAGCTTACAGGATCTTGATCCAAAAAAAAAGAAGCTTACCAGACAAAACAAAAACGACAAGGCGTTTTGGTATTTTTATCCAAGCCCATAATTATCTTCTTAGTCTCTCCAGCACGAGAAAAAAGCTCATAAATTTGCTCCTGTTGTGTAGAATGACATATTCCCAATATAAACAATCGTTGATGCCAGGATTGCTTGTTCAAATTTCTCTTGTGAAAGCTTCCATTGATCCTAATGAAAAAAGAAAATGATGAAAAATAGGGTAATTGCAGAGAGGAATAACACAGTTATAAAATGCATGTTGGATCACAGAGGATAAGCAGTATTTCAAAGTGAGACTTGAAGAAGCATACAATAATTTGGAAATGCACAGATGTACAATATGGCCACTGGAGTTCCCCTTTTTTTTTTCATAACAGAAACGGTTATGAAAATAGAGTAAAATGAATCTAAGAAATCATAATGAATAAATCCCACTCAGTTCTAAAAAAAATTCACTGCACGTGAATAGTACAGGGTACTTGAACAAGAAATCTGGTTAAGTAATTACTATGAACAAATCTTTTTAAAAAAATTTCAGAACTTCTCTAGCATCCACACATTTGATTGATTTGAACCAAATCAAAAACCACATCTTTTATATGACGACATCGATTAGGCTTTTGAATTGAGTATCAAGAACTAATCTCTATTTTGTATGAATCATCTTATGCTTTCACTTTTGAGTTGGATGGACCTTGAGAGATGATGTTAGGTTATGCATGTTCTAACCACTAAATAAAGCCTCATGTCCTACCCATTGTGTGTGCCATCAACCCTTTGAAGCCAAACACTTAGCCTTTCCTTTCATCACCCACAATATTTCCTTACCCTTTTTACCCTATTTTTGGCCATACCCTATAACTTGGGATATGCCATGGCACATGAGGACAAGGATGAAGGTTAAGCTCTACATCAACAAAAGAGGTGGCGTGTACCGAGGAAATATGTGCTCAAAGTTCAAGAAAAAAAAAGGAAAAAAAAAGAAGAAGATTTATATTCAAAAAGAAAAAAAAAGAAGAAAAAAAAAAGTGAAGCATATCAAAAATCCTGGACGCTTTTGTGAAGTAAATTTGAAGAGCCAAGCCTTATAACATGATAAATGCCTTGGTATGTCTCAAGTTATAGTATTTCCTTCCCTTTCTTTTATAACCCATAACCTAGCCCTTCATTACAACCATAGTAAAGACCTAACGGATCTTTGGGGACTTCTTACTCGGAAGTGGAGGTATGTACTTCATCTATGGTTCTTAGTATTTGATTTCCGTTCCATGAGATCTATTTTCAGAAATTGCCTTTTATTCATTTTGGATGCATATGTGTCTTATATTTGGATTTCTTTGCCTAACTTCATTCACATATGCGGGGTAAGAGTGCAACCCTAGGTTCTGAGAAAATTGAGAGTTATCCAGTGAGGTCTAGAGTCGAGGCGAATTTGTACACACGCCGAGTATGGTTATCTTTAAGTTTGAGTGCTTGGAGTATTGGCTTTACACTTTACACTATGATGCATTTTATTCGTAGTGGCATAACTTTAGTTTTTGAATTGTGATTGTCATTCATTAGTTATTATTAGTTTGTTGGAAGTATTGCTTTAACGAATTTGTTTTGCAAGGAGCGTTTGTGGGTGTCGTGACTGGTAAACCCTCAGGAGACACAACTCCTCCTACTAGGGACACCTAGAGGTTTAAAGGCTTGTGGCACATACTAAGTGCCATCGAGATTACCTGCGAAAGTGGTTTAGTTTAGTTAGTTTGTTTTATTTTATTTTTCATTTTCATTTTTGCTCGAGGACTAGCAATAGATAGGTTTGGGGGTATTTGATAAGCCTATAATATATATATATATATATTTTATGCCTCCTTTACTTATTTATTTGTTAATTTCCTTGCATTAAATTGGTTGTTTTAATTGGTTTTGTGAGATTTGTGAAGGAATTGTGAAATATGAGAAAGTGTGCTAAAAAGGGTAAGAAGATGAAGATTGGAGATTAATCAAGTCAAACAAGGAGAAATAAAGAAGACCCTATTTTAGAAGGAATCCTACTTTTATAACAATTGTAATTATACCTTAGATAGGATTTCTAGGAGTCTTATAAATAGGAAGTTTAGGTCATTGTTCAGACCACCCATCATCCTCCATATTCATACTCATAGCCTAAATATCCAAAAGAGAATACGAAGAAAGCTTGCGCAACCTTGGCATTATACTTGGAGAATTCGGTGCCTTCCATGTCTTCATCAACCATCATGATTCTCAATAAGTCCTTCATGAACTAATTTCTTTTAGTAGCGCTACAATGTAGCCTAGCTATGAATACTCAAATTCTTTTATATTGTTAATTTTATTTATCTATACATGTTGAGTGCTTGTTACCGTTCTTAATGCTTTCAATTAATTGGCCACTAATTGCATGATTGAAAGAATTAGGTTGAGAACGGAATGAGATTCCTAATAAAAAGCTTCTAGTAACAAGTACCATAAATTACATAGCCGACTTGGAAGACTAGGTTATGGTTTGTGTAATCTTTATTGTTTTCCACAAATCTTAATGGGTTCTTAGCTATCTAAATCCATAACTAGGAATAGAGTGGGTTGATGGTAAGGAATACAACTGATATAACTCGGAAGGGAGTATTGGCGAGGTAAGGGAAAACGATTATCAACACGTTAGGTAATTAGAATTAACAAGCTAGAAGGATTTGGGTGGGATTAGCTAGATGAAATCAGTGCCCTAGTGCTTTATCATCTTTGCTTTCATCTTTTACATTATTTCCTTAAACTCAATTTATTTTGTTTGCTTAATTAGATTTTAATCATCATACTTCTCTTTTCGTTTAATTCAATTATAATTAGAAATAAATCACTCTAGTATTTAATAGATTACTTGATCCCTGTTCGAACGATACTCTACTTACTACTATATTAATTTGAGCGATATTGTCCACTTGCAATTAATCACATCACAGGCCTCCCTTACTGTAGCTGGCTGCACCTCCGTAACCTACATAACTCAGCAGCCAAATCCAACACTACAAATAAATATAAAAATTAAAATAGCAAAACAAAATCACAATAGCATGAACAAAATTAAAACATAAACGAAAAGAGGGAGATGATACCTAGATAAAATCTTGGTCTCCAATCAAACGAATTTTAGGATAAAATCTTGAACATACCCAAATTGAACCACAAATGTCAAACCCAACTGAACCTTCTGAAAAATCAGCCACCATCGACCACAGCTTAGTGCAACCGGATGGAGATTTGTGACTTCGAAGGAGATGAAGATCTGTGACTTCAAAGAGGATTAAGAGAGATAAAATGAGAGGGAATCAGATATTTGAAGATGAAGCATTTTGGAATTGAAATTGGGGTAAGAATAGAAATTTTTGAAGGTTTAAATTGAAACATTTGAGGTGAGAGAGAAAATTTGAAAGGTAAGCTGGTGTAGAGTGTTGAGAGCTTTCTGAATTTGGATTTGGAATTTTTCAGAGTGATTTGAGAGAGAGGCTTGCAGTTTGAGATAGAAGAGAGATGAGTGAGGATTTGGGTTTAAGGGTAGGAGAGAGAATAACACGCACCAAACTCAAAATTTGGTGAAAAAAAGAGGGGCACACGAAAACAAATTGTGGGAAAAAAAAATTAAGAAATCTATGACGCAGCATAGACGCCGTCAACTTTATGACGCAGAATATGCGTCATCTCGTATAACTATTTTATGACGTGTATAAGACGTCGTTAATTTAAGGGTACATCTACGACGCAGATCTTGCATCGTCATATAGGGTATATCTATGATGCCGATCCTGTGTCGTCGTATAAGTACTTCATGACGTATAGAAGACGTTGTTAAATTGTGAAACCCCATATTTTTAAATACATATATTAATATTTCATAAAATTAAATATTTACAATTATTAGTCTTCAAAACTATATAATATATCTATATATATAAATATAAATTGTATGGCAAGTTACGTGAAGTTAGCTATTAACTAGTATAGCCTATCAAATGTTATTGCATGGCTTTAATTATTTCAATTCATTTCAGCATTATTTATTATTATTATTATATATAGATATATATGCTTACTAAGCATTGTTGAAGACTGACGTGTTGCAATATAGTGTCCTCAAAACCAATTAAAGCATGAGGTGTAAGAATGATAGTTATTCCTATATATATAAACTTGATAGGAGAGTGCTTAGTGAGCACTCTACAAAGCCAACACAAAAGGCTATTTGAGAGTCTAGGAACCTATAGACTAATTAGGTGGCACAACATTAAGCTTCATCTAACCGACTCTAGCTTACTATAAATAGGTCTACTCAATAGTTCTTTGATCATAGGTACTTTAAGTGTGTTAGTCTCCTAAAAATTATAGACAGAAGAAAGAAAGAGTGAAGTGTGGTGAGATTTTGGAGAAGCTCAAAGTGTTTGGACTTACAATTGGGAGTTATACAATAGCTTTGGATTTGAGGTAGGGGTTTTTCTTGGGGAAGTTTTGTTTTGCATACATTGAGTTAATTAAATATTGTAAATACTACATTATGCTTGATAATATTTGATTGTTGTTATGCTTGGTTATATTGTTTGATTGTTATCCTTGATATTAGA